AAGAGGTCTTTGATTTCTTTTGTTAGGTTGATTCCTAGGTATTTCAGTTTTTTGGATGCTATTGTGAAAGGAATTGTTGGCCCTATTTCTCTCTCAGTGAGTATGTCATTCGTGTAAAGGAAAGTGATTGATTTTTGTGTTCTGACCTTGTATTCAGCTACTTTGCTGAATTTGATTATTATGTCAGCAGACTTTTGGTGGAGTTCTTGGGGCCTTCTATATATAGTATCATGTCTTCTGCAAATAACAACAACTTGACTTCTTCATTTCCAATCTTTATTCCTTTTATTTCTTTCTCTTGTATAATTGCAGTGGCTAATGTTTCCAAGACTATATTGAATAGGAGTGGTGACAGTGGACATCCTTGTCTTGTTCCTGATTTCAGTGTGAAGGATTTCAGTTTCTGATCCTTTAGTGTGATATTGGGTGTGGGTTTTCCATAGATGACTTTTATCAGATTGAGGTGGAGACCATCTATTCCAATTTTTTGTAGGTTGTTTTTTTTTTTTATCATAAATGCATGTTGGATTTTGTCAAATGCTTTTTCTGCATCTATTGAGATGATCATATGGTTTCTGTCCTTGGCTCTATTTATATGGTGTATTATATTGATTGATTTGCATATGTTGAACCATCCCTGAATCCCTGGGATGAATCCCAATTGGTCAGCATGTATGATCTTCTTGATGATCTTCTGCATTCTATTTACCAGTATCTTATTAAGGATTTTTGCATCTATGTTTATTAGTAAGACTCGCCTATGGTTCTCTTTTTTGGTTGGGTCTTTCTCTGATTATGGGATCAAGGTGAGGCTTGCTTCAATGAATGAATTTGGGAGTATTGCTTCCCTTTCAATTTCATTGAAGAGTTTAAAGAGTAGTGGCAGTAGTTCCTCTAAATGTCTTGTAGAATTCAGCAGTGAAGCCATCAGGGCCTGGGCTTTTCGTACTTGGTAAGTTTTAATTATATTTTCAATTTCATTAATTGATATTTTGAGTTGTTTTTAATTTTTAGGTCTTTTTCGTTGAACTTTGCAAATTCATACATATCTAGGAATCTGTCCATTTTTTCTATGTTTTCCATTTTATTAGAGTACAGGTTCTCAAAGTAGTTATTGATGGTCCTCTGGATTTCTGCTGTTCCATTGTAATTTCATCCTTTTCATTCCTAATTGTATGGATTTGAGCCTTTTCTTTCCTATTTCTGCTAAGGTTGGCTAAGGATTTGTCAATTTTGTTTATTCTTTCAAAGAACCAACTCTTGGCTTCATTGATTTTTTTGTATCATTCCTTTAGTCTCCACTGAATTGATTTCTGCTCTATTCTTTATAATTTCATCCCTTGTATGAGCTTTGGGTTTGTCCCACTCTTCTTTTTCTAGAAGTTTGAGGTTCAGTATCAGGTTGCTTAATTGGGCTTGCTCTGTTTTCCTAATATGAGTATTCACTGCTATGAATTTCCCTCATAGAACTGCTTTGTGTCCCATAGATTCCGATATGTTGTTTTGGCACTGTCATTTAATTGTAGGAACTGTCTGATTTCTTCTTTAACGTCCTCTGTGACTCACTGTATATTCAGAAGTGTATTGTTCAATTTTGACGTGTTTATGAAGTTCTTGCAGTTTCTTTTGCTATTGATCTCCAATATCATGGCACTATGGTCTGATAATATATAGGGGATAACTTTGATTCCTTTGCACTTAAACATGTTCTGTGAGTGAGTATGTGCACTATTTTGGAGAATGACCCATGTGCAGTTGAAAAGAATGTGTATCCTGATTTCATGTGCTGGAATACTGTAAACATCTGTTAAGTTCATTTGTTCAAGAGTTTGGTTGAGTTCTAGTATTTAGTTGCTTACTTTTGTCTAGTTGATCTCTCCATTTGTGACAGTGGGGCATTGAAGTACCCCACTACTATTGTACTAGTGCTTAAATGGTTTCTCATGTCCATTAGTATTTGTTTTATATAATTGGGTGCACTGGTGTACAATATAATTGTAGTGTCCTTCTTTGTCTCTCTTAATCAGTTTTGCTTGATCTGCGAAGAGGATAGCTACTCCTGCTTTTTTTCAGGTTCCTGTCACATGGAGTATTGTTTTTCACCCTTTAACTTTCAGTCTATGAGTTTCTTTTTGAATTAAGTGTGGTTCTTCTATGCAGCATATTGTTAGATTTTGCTTCTTGACCCATTCTTCCAGTCTATTTTTTTGATTGGTGAATTGAGATAATTAACGTTGATAGTAATAACTGATAAGTGTGGACTTATCATTGTCATGACTTTTTCTTTTTGTTGGATTCTTCCCCTTTGAGTTTAATTTCTGGTCATGCCTGATAGATTCATTCTGCTTGGCTTCCTGTGGTCATGATCCTCATTGTCTTTTCCTAGGATATTGTCTAAAATTTTTTAGAGTGCTGGTTTGGTATTCATGAAATTTCTTAGGTGCTCTTTGTCATAAAAGTATTTTATTGCTCCATCTATTTTGAAAGATAGTTTTGCAGGGTACATCAATCTGGGTTGGAGACTGTTTTCCTTTAGGGCTTGAAATATGTCACTCCAAGCTCTTCTTGCCTTGATGGTTTCTGTTGAGAAGTCTGCTGTGTTTCTGATGGGCTTTCCTTTGTATGTGATTTGTTTCTTTTCTCTAACTGTTTGTAGAATTTTGTTCTCTTATTGGGTTTCTGGAATCTTAACTATTATAGGCTTATGTGTAGATTTTTTTTTGATTAAGGCTAGTTGGAGTCCTATATGCCTCACTTATCTCTATGTCAAGTTCTTTTGCCCTGCTTGGGAAGTTTTCTGCCATCACTTCTGTAAACAGTTGTATTTCTTTTTTTTTTTTGTCTACACTCTCTCCTGTTTCTTCATTGACCCTGATCAGGCTTATATTATTCTTCTTTGCATCGTCTAGCAGCTGCTGGATTGATTTCTCCTGGTCCATTACTATTGTAAAGCAATTTGTCTTTTCCTGCTCACTAATTGTAATCTTATCTTCTATATCTGAAATTCTATCCTCATATTGGCTCATTCTGCAGCATAAACTTTCAATGGAGTTTTTAATCTGCTGGAAATCTGTTTGCATCTGTTTTATGGATACCATTTGTTTCCTACATTGGGATTCCATCATGTTCGTCAGCTCCTCTATTTTTTTTATCTGTGTTCTCTCTAGATTTATTAATCATGCCTTCCACTATGGGCACAATCTCTGCTGTTATCTGAGTAATTATTTCTGATTTCATTTTTTCCAGATCCCCTCTCATTGCTAATTCAGGGAGTCCAGGTTGTTGAATATGAGATTGTTCCATCTCATTTCCCTGTTGGGCTGCTTTAGGTGATCTGGGAGTCTGGTTTTGAGACTTGTTTAAGTGTCTTCTCATTTCAAAGGGGCGGGGGAATGTGTGCTGCTGGCACCCAGGCGGCTCATGTCTTCAGCACTAGGGATTCTGGTGTGGTGGCCCAGAATGTCCACCTCCTTTGTGCTGGAGGGTGTGATGTTCAATTTGGCTCAAGGTTCAGGGAGTCAGTCCATGGCATACTGGCTGCAAGGGAGAAATATCATAGTAGAAGACATAGCAGAACAAAATGCTCAGTTCACGGCAGGGGGAAACCAGAGCACATGAGAGAAAGGGATCCAACATAGACATGAAGGTCATGCCTCATTGATCCATCCAGACACACTCAGAAGTGTGCTCTTCCAATCCCTCAAGCAGGTCCCGAAGACAAACAAATTGACTTCCCACCCTAACCAGCACAGCCTCTACCAATGCCTAATGCCTCAGTAGCCTCAAATCTATTCTTCATCATTATAATTTTGTTTTTTAAAGAAACTGGTAAACCAAGGTTCTAGAGTAATTGCATTTTACATCTCCATTAACAGTGTATGAGTGCTCTAGTTGCTCTGTATTCTCACTATCACTTGATATAATCATAATTTTTTATCACAGGTATTCTGCTAAGAATGTAAAACAATCTCATTTTAAGTTTTATTGAATCTTTTTTAATGTTTCATTTTAAGATAGTTGTAAAGTTACAGAAAAAATTGCAAAGATAGTCCAGAGTTCCCATATACCCCTCACTCAACTTCCCTATATAACACCTTATAGCATTATGATATAGTGTATTTGTCACAATTAGTGGATTAACTGTTGATGTGTTGTGGTTTATTAAGAAGTATATTTTATTAAAAAATTCACAGTCAAAAGAGTTTATGGAGACAGAATGACCTTATGCAATGAAGTACCTTGTCTGGAACAGACATGGATATTATGTAAAAATTAAGGAAATAGGATGACCTTGAAATTTTCAAGACTACTGATCAGGCATTCTGTAGACTGTCTCTATTGGATATGTCTGACATTTTCTTATACTTAGATTAGTGTTATAGAGTTTGGGAGGAAGACCACAGTACTATTCTTATCATATCAAGAGCACATACTATCATGATGACTCCTCTTGATGTTGAGCTCAAATAGCTGCCTCAGATAGTGTTTGACATCTTTCTCCAGTATAAAATTACTGTTTCCCCTCTTTCTATGCTGTATTCTTTGCAAGAAGTCACTACACACAGTCTAAACACAAGGAATGAAGAGTTATGCTCCAATTCTTTACCTCCTTGAGAGCTAAGTATGCAACGTAGACTTCTGCATGCCATGGGAGATTCTTTTATTCTCCTAAATTTATTTACTTTTTCATTAATTTATTTATACAAGTATGGACTTAAGAACAATTATTTTATACTTTGGATTATAATTCAGTAGTACTTTATTTCACTGTTCAAATTGCTCCAGCTTTGCCCAGTGGGAACACTTCTGGCTTGTGTGCCATGTTTTTTATTTGGTTTGGTTTTGTGTTTTTAGTACTTTACTTCTTTACTTTTTTTCACAGAAAGATGTTGAAGATTCATCTTCTATATTTCCTGGAATAGTTATATCATCAGCCATTTATCTAAGGAATTCTGGTTCTCTATAATGGGGAATCTTTCTAGGACATCTTCCAGCAGACTGAGGAAAAATATGTATGTGTGCTAACCCATATATATATTAAATATATATACAATTTTTATGCAACTATATATATCTATATAAAGATAAGCATCAGTTATTTTGTTATCTCCCACTTTGATTCATGGCTACATAGATTACTGAGGAACACTTGCAACTTGTTCCTATATCCTGCTGGGTGCTATGATGCATGGCAAGAAGAAAGACATAGAAACATAGACATAGAGTTAAAGAGAAAGATACAGGGAGCAGGGATGACCAGTGCTTGAGAAGTCAGAGGCTCAAACAAACAAAGGCCCCGAACACCCAGAGCTGTCAGTATTTATTGGTGATATCACAGTTAGGTTGAGGTTAAGGGGCTACATGGAGGGACTACGTGGAGTTGCTATGGATATGTTCCTGATGCAGGCAAGGCTTTTAAAGGAAGAGACAAAGCATTCTTGAATTAGGAACAGCACAGCCAAAATATAGGTTGTGTTTAATAATTAACCTTGTCTTTTTAGTAAAGAAAGTTTTAACTCTGAGAACGAAATTTGGGTAAGGCTCATTCTGTGACTTCAGCACATAGACTTTGGTTGGACTTGCTTCTCAAAACAAGCCAATTGAGGGGTTAACATTTTACAGCCTGCACTGCTCACAGCCAGCTTTGGGCATAGTCAATAAGGTGGTGCCCCTCATTAGATCTTATAAGGTCCATCCCCCTTGCTTATCCATAACTTCATTCCAGCTGTAAGAAACCTGTCTCCACACATCTGGAACATATTTAATTTATTACTCACTTCCAACATACATGCATAGTGGTCTAAGACTAGTAAAGCCATAAACCCATGAGAAGTGACTCTACCAACCAAAGTAGAGTGTTTGTGCAGTTTCTTTTACCTCTTATCTTAAAAATTCCACTCATTTTCAAAGTTACATAGGTCAGTACCTTTTCTCTTTACCTAACTTAATGAGATTATTTTATACATTTGTAATGTGGTTATTTTTTTCATCGCATTCTGCATTCTATCCTGGGATTCTCCAACAACTTAAACATTTATTTATTTTTATCCTATAATGTTCACTTTTTCTGTAAAGTTTTCTGGATTTTGATAAATTTCAAAGTAATACAAAAATGGCTTTAATGTTTTATAATCCCCTATGCTATTAACTCCCCTTCACTTCCCAAACTCTAGTGTCCACTGATAGGTCTATTAACTCTACGGTTTTGCCTTCCCAGATTGTCATATAAATGGAATTCTAGAATACATAGGCTTTTTTAGACTGCCTTTTTTCATTCTTACATTTAAAATTCATCTTTATCTTAATGTGGCTTGATAGTCCATTTTCTCTTATCTCCAAATAGTTTTTTATTGTTATAGATGTGCCACAGATTGTCTACTTCAGCAGTGAGGGGTATCTTGGTTACTTTTAAATTTTAATAAGTATGAATAAAGCACTAGAAATATTCACATGAAGGTTTTGTGTACACAAGTTTTAAAATTAGTTGAGTGAATAACTATGAGAGGAATTGCTGCTATGGTGAGACTATCTTTAAAAGACAAACTAATGAAAAAAAAAGACAAACTAATGAACTATCTTCCAAAATGGCTTTATCATTTTTCATTGCCACCAGCAAGAGAGGAAAGTTTTCCTTACTCCACATCTTCATTATGATTGGCATCATCAGTGTTTGGGATTTTAGTTATTCTAACAATTATATAACATTTCTAATATCTTATTTCTATCCATGCCTGTTATTCATTTCACTAACTTCATGTGCTTTACTCATCCAATACCTTGTTACTATTATTACTTCAAACAAAGATATTTTACATGTATTAAGAAAAATTACCCTGGCTAATTTAATATGCTCCAATTTTTGCATATTATTAAAATGATATTTATAAATGAAAACAAAATTTTATTTTATCTTCATTTGTTTCTTTCCTTATACTCTCCCTTTTAAGTAGATCCAATTTTTCTGATCTATATAATTTTCATCATTGCTGAAGTACTTCTTTTAGTATTTCTTGCAGAGCAGGTCTGCTAGAGATGAATTCTCTTTGGATTGTGTGCGAAAAATATTTTTCAAGTTAGGGGCATAATTTGCTAGATACAGAATTCTAAGTACATAGATGTTTTTCAGCACTCCATTTCTCACTTACTGTCTTTTTTTGTGAAGCAGCTTTTTTTTCTAATTTCTGATGAACAGACTGCTGTAATTCCCACTATTGTTCTTCCAGAGATACAGTGTTTGATCTCTTCTCCTAGCTGCTTTCAAAATTTTCTTTGTCTTTGATTTTCTGAGGCTAAAATATGATATGCCTAGGGGTGTGTGTGTGTGTGTGTGTTAATGTTAATTCAGTTAATCAACATAATATTATCTGAGCTTCCTGGATCTATGTTTTGGGGTCTGTTATTAATTTTGAAATGTTCTTCAAATATTTCTTTTCCTCCAGAAAAAAACAGAAATTGACTCATAGTTTTTGAACATTCTGTTTGAATGTTCTATTTGAACATTCTGTTTGAACAATTCTGTTTTTTTGTTGCTTTGTATTTTTTATCTTTATATTTCAGTTTGCAAGTGCCCATTGATTTGTCATCAGCTCTCAGATCTCCCACCTGTATGTCATTCTTCATTCAGTTAATGTGATTAGCTCTCTAGAATTTCCTCTTGCTTATGTTTACCGTCTCTCTGCTTCTATTATCCACCTGTTCTTACATGTTGTCTGCTACTAAAGTGCTTAGTGTACATAGGAAGATCAAAATATATGATGAATGTTTAAAAAATTATTACAGTAGAAAAACACATTCCCATTGGTTACCCTTAAATATTTCCTCTTTTGTTGACCACAACAAAATTTTTGCTATTTTTTAAATTTTTTAAATATTTATACTTTTGAAGACATTGGCATAGGAAAAGATTTTATGAGCAAAACCTCAGTAACACGGGAACTAGCACAGAGAATCAACAACTGGAATCTCATCCTATTAAAAAAGCTTCTACACTGCAAGAGAAACCACCAATAGAGCTAAGAGACAACCTACAATGTGAGAAAAAAATTTTACTAGCTGTTCCTCAGACAAAGGATTACTATCTAGAATACATAAAGAACTTTAAAAAAATCAGACCTCCCGGGTCAGGGATTTAGCTCAGTGGTTCTGCTGCCTACCTTGAAAGTGCAAGGACTTGAGTTCACTCCCTGGTACCAACAACAACAACAACAACAACAAAATGAATAAAAAATCAGACCTTCCAAATTTAAAGACCCAATCCAAAAATGGACATCTGAAATGAACAGACATTTCTCAGACAAAGAAGTAAAAGCAGCAAATTAACACATGAAAAAATGTTCAACATCACTGGTCATTTGAGAGACTCAGATGAAAACAACACTAATATTCCATCTCACTCCAGAAAGAATGGCTGCTATCAAGAAATTAACCAACAACAAATGCTGATGGGGATGTGGGGAGAAAAGAACCCTTCTCCATTGTTGGTGGGAGTGCAGACTGGTGCAACCGTTGTGGAAATCAATATGGAGATACCTCAAAAA